GCTCCGCCGCCGCCGCCGCCGCCACCGCCTCTCCCGCGGCTCCCGCGGCCCGGCTCCTTTCACTTCGGGCGAGGGGAGGGAGGAGGGGGACGAGGGACCCGCGGGCTCCTCGGGACGGAGTGGAACATCTCGGGGTGACTGCGCTCCACCAACCCTCCCAATCCACCACCACCACCAGCAGCAGCACCAGCAGCACCAGCAGCAACCCCCCTCCCTCCCCTTCTTTGCAAAACGCCAAAACAAAACCCGCGATCGGCGGAGCCGGCCCCCCGGCGCCCTCGCTTCACCTCGCGGGCCGCCACCGAGGGCAGCTCGGATGTCCGGTTTCCTGTGAGGCTCGTACCTGACACCCGGAGCCTCAACCCCGGCTCGGGGCTGCCATATCCGAGGGCCAAAGTTGGGGGGGGTCTCCCCGAAGGAAACCGCGGGACTGGGACGAGGACGGGAGCTCAGGCTCGCGCCCTCCAGCCTGCGCCTGCCACCGGACCGGCTTCCCCTGCTCCCGGTCCTTCCACCATGCACTTGCTGGGCTTCTTGTCTCTGGCGTGTTCCCTGCTCGCCGCTGCGCTGATCCCGGGTCCCCGCGAGGCGCCCGCCACCGCCGCCGCCTTCGAGTCGGGACTGGGCTTCTCGGAAGCGGAGCCCGACGGGGGCGAGGTCAAGGTAGGTGCGCGGACCCCGGCGGGGCTGGGCCGAGGATCCCCCGCAGCGCCCAGCCCTAGACTGTGGAGCTTGCCTTTGCTGGGTGTACAGAGAACCTGCACTGGAGAGTGTGCATAATTATTTATTTAACCTTTGGATCCAAAGTTAGAGATTGGTGCATGCCTCCTTGGAGCAAAGTTTCTCTTCTTTTTTTTCCCAGTGGAAAGCTGTTACTAGAAAGGAAAGCAACTTAGAGGAGAGAAGGGCCCAAAGAGGTGTCCGGTAGCACAGATGGAGCATTCTCCTTCAGAGTGGTCTCCTAGTGCCAACAGGGGAGCTTGCACCCTGCCCTGGTGGCGTGGCTCCAGAGAGAATTTCATTGCTGTAGGGAAATGTTCTTTTCTTTCCCTGGCTGGCTCTTTGAACTCCAAAGAGCTTCTGGGGTGTGCGACGAGACAACTTAGGTTTCTGCTCTTGGAGTGTTTAGAGCAGGAGCCCCGAGGCTCTGGGAACTAGTTTGGAAAAAGTGGAAGTAAATTTAGTGACTGGGCTTGAGGGTTTTAGATTTTTAGGATTAACTTGAACTTGCTCAAATCTCGGATATAACAGAGACTGGAAGCTTTTAAATCGTAGTCACGAGAGTCTTTTTTCCCAACTTTATCAACTGCGTTTCTGAACCCTGGCTGTGAGATAGCAAAAACTGAAGAGTGAATGTGTTTGTTTTATTTTGTTTGTAAGTTAAAACAAACAAACAAACATGTTAAGGTGCTTTTGAAGACATTCGGATTCTCAAAAGAAGCCATCTATCTTGTTCCTGTGTACTTCTCACTGGAACCTTCTAAAGGATATTTATAAATCTTTGGAACTCCTGAAAAAGTTTTGTATTTACCGCACTGAAGGCCCCCTGGCTGGAACCAGGCTGAAGTGGTTTACTCTATCTGCCTGCTAGTGGGGGAAAAAAGCAAGGGGTGTGTTCCTCTCAACTTTCGGTTGACTCTATTGGGGAACAAAAACTAAATGTACAGAGATTAAATCACCTTCCCTGGGTTTTGTCTGAGATACACTTTAACACGGACAAGACTACCCTCTCAAATACCAAACTACCAGTGTGTTCTCATTTGGGAAAAATAAAGACACCAGAATTTGTAGTTCACTATGAGAATTGTAACTTTCAGCGTAAACATGTCAACTCTAGGGAGAAAAATCATTGTCCCCTAAATGCCACAAAAATAAAGCTCTGAACCCAGTAATACTTCTTGTAACTGGAGCCCTTCAGGTTTGCCAGACCTGGTCCCTTTCTGACTCTTCAAATTCAAAGTGACATAGGTATGACTTACTCGGACACCATTCCCATTGCCTAGAACTGACTCTGATTTACTGTAGGAAAGTGTGAAGCATTGGGTAAAACAAGAAACATTCCCTGATAAGCCAATAGCTTACACAACAGTCAGTTACCACAGAGTCAGTCCTGAATCACTGTGCTGGAGCGTGAGTGTGCGTGCGTGCGTGCGTGCGTGCGTGCCTGTCTGTCTGTCTGTCGGAGCACTCAGGTGTGTATTGCAGCAGGGTAGAGACTTGCAGGATAAAAAAGTTCCTTCCTATTCAATTTTCAAGGCTATTGTCATTAAGTGTCTCCTTTTCTCTGGAAATCTACATATTTTGTTTGCAAAAGTCTCTTTTCATGGCTAACCATCTTTTAAATTCTGTATGTTGAACAAGAACTGATACTTGGCATGTGATAGGATTTTTTTTTTTTTTTAATCTGTAGGAGGAAACTTTATTTGTATCTCTGAGTTTCATGGGCAGTGTGCTTTGGCAGTACTCAGCTGTTCCCTGGTGGGTGAAGAGGACCTTGACAGCCTGTTTTACTGATGCCTCCAGTGAAACTGCTGTGTCCTTGCTCAGTGGCCCCAAACACTGGTGTGAAGACTCCATGTCTCTCCCTAGTGGCCTTTCAAAGCAGCTCAGTTCCCTTCAAGCAAAGGAGAACCAGAGGGAAACTAGTTATAAGTTTCCTAAAACCTCAAGAAGGCATTTCACAAGATACAAACAAGATGTCCATTATGCATAGCAGTAACTCATACAAAGTTTTATTAATCAATAGATACCCATGTCACTTTTTTAAATTCACAAATATAGAAGAGCCAATAAGCTATGAGAAAACTTGCCATCCAGTCTTCCCTGTGGAACCCAAGGCCATGCAGATAGTTGGAAGTGAATTTAGTAGGTTCCCCTTTCTGTTTTTTTTTTTCATGATTGTATGATTTAATGAAAAGTTCTAAAATATTTTCTGAAGGGTGTTAATGCAAACAGGCCACTGTCAGAAAGCTAAAGCAGCTGGATACTGTGGACATAAAAAGAAACATTCCAAACTTGCTATCAAACTAATGAATATTGCTGAGCTCAGAAAAGCACCTGATTGCTGTAGCTAATAATTTGCAGTCTGAGTCTGGGTAGAACACAATCTGGTGAGTTGGAATTGAAAAATTTAGTTTTAAGAAAGACATTGGTTGACTACAAAAAATAAATCAGAAGAAAGACTTACCTCATACAAATTATCGGTATCAAACTTTTTCCCTTTTATGAAAAGTATATTCTTTTCTCACCATAATATATCCAGATTACATCCCCCAACCCCAATTCCTGCCACTTCCATTTTCTGTCTCATTAAAAAAACAAAAAGACTTCTATGGGGGAGCCGGGTGGTGGTGGCAAATGCCTTTAATCCCAGCACTTGGGAGGCAGAGGCAGGTGGATCTCTGTGAGTTCGAGGCCAGCCTGGACTACCAAGTGAGTGCCAGGAAAAGGCACAAAGCTACACAGAGAAACCCTGTCTTAAAAAACAAAAAAAAAAAAAAAAAAAAAAAAAAAAAAAAAAAAAAAAGGGTGTGGTTATGTGCATTCCAGTGCAGTCAGAGCTCTAAACTTGCTCTGAGCAATGT